AAAAAGAAGAAGAAAATGAAGAGCTTGACTTTGGCTCTACTAGGGCATGACATTAAATTCTATTGTTAATAGATTTAAGCTCCCAAACATCTAAAGTAAGTTTATGGTGCCTTGTTCTTCCTCATTTATGATAATTTCTGGTAGGGTTTGACTTGAAAGATAGATTTTCAGTCCATAGGAGTATGGGTCTAATTTCATTGGTTACAATAAATATAATGGTTTGTATTAGAACACCACATTGATGATTTTAGAAGTGGTTGGTCCATAGAAGTATTTATTATCTAAAAATTATCATAAATATGGTAGTTAGGAGAGGTTAATATGTATTAATGATGGTTTGAGGTGTTGTTAATGATAATGTGCATTTATGAAATTTAATGAGCCTATTGAGTATAAATAGGTAGTGATTATGAGTTGATAAAAATAGAGTGTGTGGAGTTTTATATTGATGAAACTTCAAGAGTTAGACAATGATGATATTCTTATGGTATGGATGTAGAGAGGTTCCTTTTTGGTACCATTCGAGCTTGTTGAAGCTTTAGAAAATTGGTATAGTAAGAGGTAAACTTTTGACCTCTCAAAGGTTTGAGGTAACCGAAAAACACTTAATTCTTATAGTTGAATGTTAATTGTATTTGTGAAATATGAATTATGATTAAATTAGTGATGCATATTGGCAAAGTGCTTGATTTGTGAAATGGTTTTTGAAAAGAAAACCTTAATTTTGCCACCCTTAATATTTTATAAAATTGATTATGATTTATTACTATGGATGGAGAATTGTGATATATTATGTGTTGAATTGTGGAGTATTAAGTTATGTGAGTTCATGTATTTTGAATTGATTGTTAAAATGCATATTATGTGAGAAATGTGCATAGCATGATCATCGGTAGGAGTTCGTTTAGGGAGAGGAGTAGATTGGTTGAAAATTCACGTGGTATTGGCAGTGATTGTTGAAATCAAGAACTAGCCTTGGCACCGACTGTTAGAATTAGGAAGTAGCCCTTGTCTCATGGTTGATTCAGGACTGTCCTACTTATTCTATGAGGGACTCAAACCTAACTAGTCTTCATTGGTGTATGAGAAGGCTAGATTAGGGGTACAACACTCCATGGTTATTATTATTAGGAGAAATTGGATTACATAAGTGAGTGAGTTCACCCTGGCCTGGTAGCTCCTTACAAGTGAAAGGCTGAGTTAGTCCGTGAAAGATGTAGCCACGTGATAGCCATCAGTTTCGTGTCGAAGGTAACAAAAGGATATAAGGTTGGTATCTGATCATGCATATAAGTTCGATCACATGATTGTTAGTTTCGTGGTCCAGTATATGTTGAGGGCGCCTGGTTGTTATTTTTGTGATCCTGTGTTATGTTTTGCAAAATAACATGATTAAATGTTTTGTGGCAAGCCCGATTACATAGTTGTTAGTTTTATAAATCGTGGCCAAGTGTCATATGTTATTCATGTTTACTTATCTAATTGCATCTATTTATAATTGATAGGCAACTGTATGGGTTAAGTGAAACTTGGTTACTAAGTAATTGTACTAACCCCTCAATTCTCAATATTTTAGGGACCTAATTCATCGGATTTGAGTCAGGAAAACATATAGAGGCTTAGAATTTGTGGAGTAATCCTCTATATGCTTTTCTTCTGTTACTATCATGTGTATTTGTTAATGTAATTGTCAGTTAGGATTAATTGACATGATTTATGCATTACTTGCATGATTTTGCGTATAACTAATGTATTTTGTACCTTAGGTTAGTGAGTTTTGGTTGTGAACCCTTGGATAGGGCCAAAATACTTGTGCAAATAGAAAAATATATATTTTGAGAAATTTAGAATGAAATTATTGATTTTGTGCAACATTTACTCCCCCTTTATGTTTTGTGAAAATCAGATTTGAGTGATGATTTTATTATATAAGTGTTTTTAATTGTGTGTAGTGCATTGCATGAGTCCGTAAGAGTCTATTGAGTGTGGTCAAATGATTGGTGTAAACTATTGGCACGTGTGGTTGAGTTTGGGACACCCTCTTTGAAAAATTTTGTAAAAAAGTGGTCAAAATGGGTTATGGTGTCCAACTTTTTTATAAAAAATGAGTTTGAATGTGAAACTAGTGCCATTTGCTAGAGTTAGGAGAAAGCTCCGTGTACACACTGAAACCATCTCAATTGAATGTCGGACGAAGATTTGGGATGCGTCAAAAGTTTGCTCTCTATGTTGTCAAATGACACTTATGCTATTAAATTTCGTGCAATATGTCACAGCGCACAAGTCACTTTCTACACAAAGTCTGTTTTTGAGTTTAAAAACTTATTATTTTGGATCCCAATTGATTTTCAAGCTTCTGTTTTACTTTCAAAACTCTAATTTGAACTTATTAAATCATGTTTGAGATTTAAATTGTCTAGATTGAGATTCTTTTAAAAGAATTTTAAAAAATTTCTTTTTATAAAATTTATAATGTGGTAATTGTTTAAGGGTTAAACCTTGAAATACCATGATTTGAAGTCAATTATGGTTTAACTTCAAGAAGGTTATAGTACTCTAGTGGCAACTAGAACATGATAGTTGCGTTAGAGAATGTTTGTATATAATTTCATAAAATCATAATTTTCCTTGATTTTTAATTATACTTTATAATTTTGCTTAAAATCAATCTTATTAATTAATTTTATAAATCAATTATATATCTCATAAAAAAATCAATTACTTTTCTTATCTTGTTTATAAGTCATTCCCAATATATTTTATCAAAATCAAAAAAAAACCTTAAACCTTATTAGCTTTGTCTTAAAATTTAACAAATTTTTACCTTTACTCCTAATAAATATACTTAAATCTCATTACTATTATTTTTATTTAAAGCATTTAATAAAGAAAAAAATATAAAGAGGAGCATTGAAAATTAAGAGGTGCCTTATATATAAGATTAAATTTTTTCCTCTTTATCCTATAAATAAGACTAAAGGTGTACATTCAAAATCCATCATGTTAAGTTTTTTTAATAGATGTACAAACATGCCCATATTATATGGATAGGCAATTAGTACGGGTATTGCTTCTCTAAACACATGCTTAATTATGTGATGTCTCTTAACTAATTTCTCGACCACAATCTTCTGATGGATCTCCTCACTAACATTTAAATTATAATAGGGGGAAAGGAGGAAGGCCATCCAACTCTTTGCAATTAGAAAATTAAAGTGCAACTACAAAAACAAGCCAAACGGGGGCATAGTTTCAGGAACATGCCTATACATTTCTTTAATGGGAAAAGGATAACAGCATTCAATATCAAATAAGGCTCAAATAATTTTAAAATATTATTATAAGTTTAGGAAATTGGTTTGAAAATAATTTTAAATGAAAAAAAACTATAATACTCATACTTTTCTTTTTTAATTGACAAATAATCATTCATTAATTAACAAACACCAGTTCACATTTAATAAAAAGCTATTCTTTAATTAACAAGTTCAAAAATATAAAAGAACTTGACAAGTATAAATTATGTTTTAATAAATAACTATTCATTAACTAACAAGTACACATTCACATTTAACAAGAAGCCCTTTGTTAATTGACAAGTTTAAAATCTAAAAAAATTGAGTTGTGAAAAGAGATAAGTGTAGATTGTGTTTCAAAAAGCTAAGTAGTCATTTATTAATTAATAAGTATTTATTCACATTTAATGAGGAGTTATTTTCTAATTAACAAGTTTTTTTTTAAAAAAAGAAAAGTAAAGATATTATAATCTTTTTCCATTTAAAGTTATTTCCAAATCAGTTTTCTAATCATGCAATGATATTTTAAAAATTTTTAATATTTATTTAATATTAAATTGCTTCACCCACCCTTGAGATATTTTCCCTTCTTTTAATCATTTGATATTTTTGAACATATCAATTTGAATTGCAAAAAATAATTTATTTATATATATATATATATATTACCTCCATTTTAAAATTTAAAATATTTTTAACTGAATCTCACTTTAACAAAGTAATTATTTATTCTCAAATTAATACTATTGTTTCATTTTTGTCCCAATTTAAGAAGGTGTTTTACTCTAAAATATATATAAAGTTATTTTTTCATTAGCAATACTTTTAAAAAATGAGTAATTATTACACATTAAAATACTAAAAATATTTTACATTTTTTAACGGATGGAATATAATTTATGAGTAATCTAATTTATTACAATTTCTTATACATATGGATGATGATATACTAAATCCTCTATCAGGAAAAAAAAGAAATTTAAAAGAGTAACATAACTTAGGAAAAAATATTATATGTTTTAAGAGTATTATGCTATTTATATTCTCTATAATTTTAAATCCAATAAATTAATAGTAATATTTTCTATTTTATCAAATATACAATCTCTCTTTTTATTAAAATATCTCTCTGCATTCCCGCTCACTTTAAGTCTAAATTTTTATTTTCAAAATAAATAATATAACACACAAAGAATGTAATAATCTGTTTTCAAATTCACAGTTATTATTTCATTTCTGTTGAAAAAAATTTAAAAAATATTATAATTCACGTACACATGATCATACTTATTTTTCTACTTTATTTATTTCTTTAATGAACTATGCATTACTCCCTTTCATTATTTGACTCCTTTTTTAAAAGCAACAGTAAATTGATTTAAATTTAATTTTTTGATTTATTATTTAAAGGTAGTATAACAAAATAAAATAATTTGCTCAAAAATAATAATAATAATAATAAAATAACTATATATATATATATATATAACTCAGCAAAACCTGGCTTTTGCATTGTCTTTTTATTTTGTCACATGAGACTCACGGGGCATAAGATTGCATTATTTTTCCCTCACTTTTTGTCTATTTTTGTTCTTATTATTCTACTCAATTATCATTATTATTGTTATTATTATTTAAATTTTTTTTTTTTACCATCTCTTCTCTCTCCCCTTTTATAGGGACCAAGCGCCTCGTCTCTCTTTCTCAATCCACACACCCTTCTCTCTCTCTTCTCTCTTCTCTCTACTCTCTTCTATTCACTGGAAGAATTATCATCCAACCAGAAAACCAAGTTTATATCATCAAGAGATAGAGAGAGAGATGGGTTTGCAAAACCAGCTAAACGACGTCGCTTCAGATTCGATTCCTCTGCTTTTCTTGGCCTTCGTCGCCGACTGCTTCAATCAGCTCCGTTCCTTCCTCATCGCTCTCCTCCAATCGCTAGGACTCTCCAGATTCGACCCGAACCCGGCCGTAGTCGACGATGGATTTTTCACAGCCGTCGGATCGGGCCTTGCCAGCTTGATCGTCCTCTCCGAGCAGCTCAATCTTAATCAACGCGTCTCCTACCGATACTCCGTTGTAGGTGGCGGCGATGAGGGTCCTGCCGGCGTGATTGGTTCTCCCAAGTGTGTGGTGTGCCAGAGCACCTTCGAAGACGGAGACCAGGTTCGACGCCTTCCGTGCTGCCATGTGTTTCACCGATGCTGCTTCGATGGTTGGCTGGACCACCTCAATTTCAACTGCCCCCTCTGTCGGACGCCGGTTGTCTCCGACGAGCGCGTGGCCCTTGCTGAGCAGCGCGTCGGTCCCGAGCTTGTTGCCTGGTTCTCTTCGCGGTGAAGCGATGTCGTTGTGTTGCATGATTGGGGACGGAACGGTAGCTTCGAATTTTTATTTACCGTTTTCTTTTTATATGCGGTTGTTTCGTTAGGGCAGTTTTGTCTTTTCATTTTTGTAATTTAATTAGGTTTATTAGTTTTTTTTATTTATTGTTTTCGTATTCGTGTTTTTTTTTTTTTTTAAGGACTCTGATTGTGATATATCCCAGGGTTCTTTTCGAGCTGCTGTAAATTACAGGCTTTGTGTTAATAATAATAAGTGATTAAGTTATGAAGCATATGCAAATTTCTATTGTAAAAAAGACAACCACCTGGACTTTCATTTTTTCCGGTTTTTTAATTTAAAGTTTTTTAATGGATAAAATAATCATTATTTTAATATTAAAAAAACATCATGACCAAGTAAATATTAATGTTGGAGCTTTATCGAATTTAATTGAAGTAACTTTTTTAAGAAAGTTTTATGTATTTATTAATGCTATTTTCTTTTGCCAAATAGTACAACCCACTACTTAAAATCAATCCTAAATAAAGACATGTTCTCACTAAAGCCAGTTCCATTATTTTTGGATTTTTCTTTTGGAATAAAAGTTGTAGGAAGCCAACTTCGGATTAAAAACATTAACTGCTTTGTGCTAATCACTTTGTGGAACAAGTATATTTTTTTTCTGCGTTTTTGCATCCACAATTAGAAAGTGTTTTTGAGATTAGTAATTTAATGGTTGGTAGAAAGAGACTAGAAAGATGTGTATGATTAACAGATGTGGGGTACCCAATGGGGCAATAATTGTGAAATAGAATAAGGTCATGATAATCTATCAGAAATGAATAATGTGAATGTAGATAAAGTTAGCTTAAGTAGGGAGAATTTTAAGACTTAATTACTAGTGTGTTTTTAAAAAAAAATCTAAAATTTCAAAAGGTCAAGAGAATTAAAGTGAAAATATTGTTAACAGTAAATAAATTAAACTATCCTTCATTTGTTATGTAAAATTATTAATTATTAATTTTTTTATTTATTAATTTATGACTATGAATTATAAATTATATCTATTTATTAGATAAGTAGTAATATTAGTTGTTAATTTACTAACATCAATTTGAAAACAAATATTATTTGTGATAGAACAAATAATATTAAATTTTATATAATTATTAACATGTTAATTCATGTGATTTATAACTCATATTAGTAAATTAATGAATGAAGTAATAAAATTAATAATTAATAATTTTGCATAACAAGTGATAGAAAATTTGTTCTTTTTATTGTTGAAATTATTTTAATTTTAATTTCTCTAAACTGAACTAAAATTTTAATTTTTTAAGGACCTATTAATAATTAAATCCCATTCATGGTCCTTAATTTAGATTTTGAAAGTTCACATAGAATAAATAAAAAAACTAAATCCTAAAAAGGAAAATGATACTTTGGAGCTATTATAGAAAAAAAAAAAAACATAGCATTGTAGCACAATAATATGCAAACTCTCGTGTAAATGAGAGATTATGAGTTTCATCCTGCTTGTAAATTCAGGTAATTAGTGTCGGTCCTTTTAATTTTAAAAATTCATAAATTTGTATACAAAAGATAAATGGATGAAAATTACTTTATGTAGTTAGCAACATTAGTTTTTTTACAGCTATGTTATCCCATGAAATATATAAAACCATTTTGTTCATTTTCTGTTATTCTTATTTATTTTTTTGGGTCAAATTTTCCTTAACCTTGATCTTTCTCTCTGTTATTTCATGAATTTATAGTCCTTTGGTATTTCTATTTTGGTGGTACTTCTACTTAATTCGTTCGCCCCTTAAATCTCATTAATAATCATGATAAGGTAATAAAGATTTTCCACATCTAAGTATAATAATAATATTACTAATTTATATATTTTTAAAATTAAATAGAGTTAATCTCATTCAATACAATATCTAATATTCGATATTATTGAATTAGATTTTAAGCTTTGAATTTGTTAGGTCCTAAGCAAGAGTAACTTTTCCAACTATGTCTTCTACATTCACGTAAACTTGAACACTCAATTAAAAGAGATTATATATATATATATATATATTTCTAAATCTCTGATAAAAAAAAATTTAAAGATAAATAATGGCATTTTTAAAAAATGAGCTCAAACGGTGAGGATGAAATGAGATGATAGTAAACATTAAATGTCCAAATCTCTCTAAAAGTATATATCAAATAAAAGATTAAATTGCAATAAATTATACTCCCTTTATTTAAAAATATAAAATATTTTTAATAAAATTTCATATTCAATAAAATAATTATTTGTCTTTAAATTAATCCTACCTTTTTATATTTATTCATATTTAATAAGGTATTTCATCTTAAAATAAATATAAAGTGATTTATTTAATAGGAGCACTCTTGGTAAAAAGTAATGATTACACTTTAAAAGTTTAAAAATACCTTAGATTTTTTGACATTAAATTTTATAAAATGTAAGGAATTTTTTGATGGAGGGAATATAAATTACATCATCATCATCTTTCACTCTATGAAGCCAAATCGTTTATTAAATTAAACTATTCAGGGCATTAATCACAATTTATTGGTCAAATCATGGTCCAATTGGTAACAATTAAATTAGGTAGTATTTGAATTTATGGATTTGAATTTAAATTTTAACTTTTATCTTTAAAATCCATGTTGTTAGGATATTGTAAAAAATTTGAACAGTAAAATAAAAATAAGCTAAGATTTGAAACAGTGACGAAACATTAAAAGTGAAGAGGTTACCTCTATTTTTATAGATAAAAATGAGATTTGAGATGATTAATGAAAATAATAGATGTACCGGGATTGAAAACTAATAAAGAAGAGAGGATGGATAGATGAAATTTTAAATAATTAAAATTTAGAGAAAATCTGTAATTACAAAAAAATATAATAAAACATGAATTTAAATTTAAATTCAAAGAGTTTTATGCATACAAATGAAAAACTTGGTTTAAATTTAAATACAAATTCTCATGCATGCAAAATCACATGTGTATTTTAAATTTTATATGTTAAAATATAATAAAAATATAAATAAATTTATCTATCATTATTTTTTATAAAGTGATTACAAATTGCATGCAAGGGGTATTATATAACTTTTCTCAGTTATTTTTTTTCTTTAAAAGATGAGAAATAATGTGCTCTAAGATTTGGTTTAAATCAAATGGCCACGAAAAGTCTAAATGCCAGTGGGAAAGAAGCAAGCACTTTTCTAGTTCAGGGGTCAAAACATGAACAGGGAAAGTGAAGTAAGTTTAAAGTGAGGACAGGACAAGCTACAATATAATAGTAGATCAAGGTAGTTCCATATCGGCATGTATAGCTATTTGAACGAAATTAAGTAATCCATTCGATAAACGTGTGACCAAATCTTCACTTGACATAGCTATTTGGACGAAAATACTGTCTATATTTGCAGATAGTTAGCATATAATCTCTAATATTTTAGAACCAAGAAAATAAAGAAAATACAAAACTAGACAGTTACAGTAAAGGGTGTTTATACTTATCCCCATTTCGGTCCGCTTGGTTTCATCAAAAAACAAAAAAAAAAAAATCTTGAAGCACCATCAAGACATACTTTTCTAAATATATTATTATATTTTTTGTTTTATTAGTATTTTATTTATTCTGGCAGAGTTAGACTATATATGTTTTTCGTTTGCAATATATTAATTATATTAATACAATTTATTTTTACATTTATCTATTTAATAATTTTTGTTTATAATGTTTTTCTTGTTTTCTTTGTAAAAGGATCAATAATTTCAAATATCTTAACTTTTGTTGGTTGGTTTACTTAAATTATGTAACCTAATAATTATGCTGTTGCACTTATAATTTGAAAATCATGTGGTTGTATACTAGACTTTAAGTTGTAGTTATTGTTATTGTATTCTTTCATTTTAAAGTATAACTATTGTAACTTAATGATTAAATTTATACACTCATGTTGTTTTGATTTTGAATTTAATATCTTGTAATTTAATAAATATTATTATTTAAGTCTTTCTTTCACATTTTGTCTACTTTATTGGGACATCTCAATTTTATCCCAATCTCAAATGGGATACAAAATAAAACACGTGATAAAAATTTAGTCTCATTTATTTTTTGAGATAGGACATTAATAAAATTATCTCAATTTCATCATATACCATGAACACCCCTAATTAGAGTTATCTACTAATAGAGCCAATAATTCGTGAGGGTCAGGTTTATTTTGATCGAACTCAAAATACTTGAATATATTAAAAAGTTTATATAGCCACACTCAACTCAAATACTTCAAGCTAAAATGAATATTCAAACTGTTAAAAATTATTTTATTTTTTTAATCAATTTCAATTTTTATAGTCAAAAAATAATTCTTTATCTTATCTTATTTTATTTTTATTAATAATAAAAATAATTTGAGTATTTGAACTAAGTCTATTCAATTTTGAGTTTAGCCCAAATTTTTTCAAATTTATTCAGACAGCCCTAATAAGTTCAAAGTAGAAAAAACTTGTTAAACTCTCAAATCTAACCCTAAAATTACCAACTCTAAATATAAGAAGGTTTATAATTTCCTCATATATGTTGTTGGTAATAATCTGGAACTTCTCGCATAAGCATGAAATCCATCTAGCCACTAAAAATGGTTTGTTCGATTATTAGAAGGATTGCGATATGAAACAAGTACTATACACACGAGGCTATAGAATTATCAAAGCACTATGTCCTTTCTGTCACTTTCTACCAAAGACCCCTCCTCATTCTCATAAAATCTGACTTGGCACAACCTTCCTCCGGCTTCATCAGCAAAAGCTATCTTTTTACTCCTATTATTACGCACTAAAACATCTTGAGATGCAGGGGAAACTTCGTCAGCTAATTGCTGCAATCAGATAGGGCCAAATAATAATCAATAGTTTATCATATGTGTAAAAAGGAAAAAGCAAGCCATGACAATAAAGATGTTCAAAATTAAGAGTATGATAGTACTAACCATTAGCTTACAGAAACGGCTACAATCCCTTGCCATAAAGGACAAGGTTCGTCTCGCAGTTTCTTCAGCTCTTGTTGCCTTCTTCACCGCCGTTCTTGCCTGGAAATAATGTCAACAATGTTCAGAAATTGGTGCCAAATGAATCAGCTTGATTGCACGCCTTTAGAATCCGGGGGAAATAAATATTCGGGTTGCAAGAAACTGATGAAATTTCGCAGTTCAAATTATGAAGATCGAAAATCAAAAGCAGTACAATTGACTTATGCAGATGACAAAATGAGCAAAAACCATGAATGAGAAAACATGCAACGAAGATTATATACGTCGCTAAAGAGGACATGAATTTAGACTTTCATGAGTATCTATCAAGGGAAGTTGAACACAAGGCTACCAAATTCGCAGTACTCGTCTTAAAAATTTCCAGTATTAGATTACCTATCTATTTTTCTCAGGGTACACAAAGAAAATCGAACTGTTGACCTTTTGTTCGAACCTCCACCCACACCCACCACTGTAACTATTCCCTGCCTACATAATAACTTGAGCTTGCACCCAAATGGTTCTCGACAATACTTAGGATACATTTGGTTGCTAGAAAGCATAGAAATGTAATGGATTGAAAAATATTAAACTAAAAATAAATAAACTAAATGACCATTTTCTCAACAAAAATCAATATTATATGTTACAAATGTGAGGATCAGTACATCCTCCAAAAGTCTCATGAATCATAATTTTCAATCCCTTGAACTAAATTTCCCTTCTTCCTTATAAATAAAGTTTGCCTATTTACCTCCACATTTTGATCATCTTACTTTTACCTTAAGTTTTTTAATCCATTCCATTCCATTTCTTTCTAGTAACAAACAAACCTTAATGATTATGATCGCAGCACTTCAGTCACGAAGTTCCGGGCTTTTCTAAAGAAAGCAATAACATTTAACCTTTCATGTGGTTAACAAAATAAGAATCTGTCTTCATTTAGTTATATGAGAGTAGAACTGCTCATCAGTTAATTAAAGCAGCATAACGAACAGTTTCATGTTACCTCTCAACCATTAACACTTCCTGTGATCCTATCATCTACCACTAGGATCCTCAGGTCTAAACTAAATTTGCTTTCTACATTTTTTTTTTACTTTATTTTAAACGAGTAGAATATATAACAGGCTTCAATTATATGTTCATCCTTTCCATCTTCACCGCAGACCTCAGTATCTTTAATAAGCGAGTAAAGGTGCTATAAATATAACCATACCTCATTTACTTTATATCTCAAAGGTGTGGTCAGACATAATTCAGAGCGTAACATAGCAGTCATGATGTCCTTCATTGACTTCAATTCATTTGTTAGTTTCATTGCAAGGCATTCAGCATCGTGCATCTGCCTCTTGGAAAATGAAATCGCATTCTTTGCGCAACTCTGTAGGGATGAGGGCCCAGTGCTAACGCGGTAAGCTGAACGCGAAGGAAGAGAACTCTTTTGAACGCCTTGAGGATGGGAAACTCTTTTAAGAGGCTTAGGTATCTTACGAATTTTGTTACAATGCTTAGTAAATCGAGCTCCCACAATCTCATTAAGTTCTTCAATAGTGTCTTTCTTCTCGTCATCAGTCTGCTCGCCAAAGAATAGTTTCCCTTTACATGCTGCAAGCATAATCACGCAATAGAAGTGAACAAAAAAACGAAGGAAAAGAATTGTTTCTGGTGCTGATAATTCCAACTTCGCATTTCAGCATTGATGAACACACTGGCAAAACCACAATCAGATCAGATAAGTAGAAAATAAAGTTATATCCGATATTGCAATTATTTCGTTCGAGGTTCCAAACAAGGAAAATATAAGTCAGAAAATGCATATTTTATTTCCTTGGGATCTCAACAAAAGCTATTTCAGTTGTTCAAGATCACGAAAATAAATCTTGTTTCAGGCACCACCAACTACATGGTTTAGCTTTCTCTCATCAAGATGTACATCGTATATAGCCTTGTTATATCTTATTTCTCTTTTAACATGATATTTAGCCTTTAGTGACTTGCATTTCTTTCCATGCATTTGGAGTTCATAGTTTGTAACAGCGAGACAGAATATCATATTCTTGCACATGTTGAATGCAAAGTTTCAGGCACTTACTTGTATATTCTTTGTCATGTAAATCAATGGACTGCATGGCTTTGCAGAGCTTAATTTGTGAAGAAGGCGAAATGGTCTGAAAAGAACCAAACTAATGAGAAGCAGCAGCAACATAAGACAAGACAAAAAAAAAAAATGATATCTGGAATCAGGTTTTTCACCTTTCTGCCTGATAACAGCCTTTGAGGACGATGCAGCTTTGAACTACTTTGGTGGCTTTCCCAAGGTATTGACTCATCAGTAGCTTCACTAGCATGTCTATCCTCATCAACACTTGCCGAAGTAAGCTGCTTCTCCTCTAATACAGGTGAAGCATCTGGGCTGCAATCCTGGGACTCATCAGGTGAACCATCTGAGCCATAATTCAAGGATCCATCAGGATTACAGCCGTGTTCACTGACCAATGTATATTCACTACTACTGCAGTCACCAAAGAAAGCATCATTACCTCCACTATCTAGATCCAAACAATTAATATCTTCATCACCAATAAGTGGTGTGATTGCAATGTGACTGTCAGGTTGATTAGAAAAGATATCGGTGTTTTGATCTTCATCCAAATTGATTGTTCTTGGGGACATTGAATGAAGATCTGGTCGCATGATACATTCTTCACTTTCTTCACTAATAAATTCTATTGCAGGAAGGTTTTGAGATTGTTCATTGCTCATATTTGAATCACTAGTCAAGACATCAGTGTTAGAGTCCCATACAATTCGAAGTGGAGTAGCATCTGCGTGCTCTTTCCACTCATAATCTAATTCACAACCCAACACACATTCTCGGGCTGTCTCAGGCTCTTCTGTGGCTACTATTCCAAGAAAGCCTTCAGGCCAGCAACAAGCTTGAGAATTAATACTAGTATTGTATAACATTCTCCATGGATCTGACCAAGAAATTTCAGGAACCTCAGCCTTCACTTCAACAAGTGCGGTTGAAGTTTCTGACTCTTGACTATTTTGGATCACTTCAGATTTGACAGCAGATATGACCTCTTGTGTAACACTAGACATTTGGTCTTTTATGCACTTCCTCTTCTTGGCCTTCTTATTCTTTGATAACTTAGATCTCCAGCTACTGAGAGTCTCCATGAATTCAGAATCATTTGATGCTATATGATTCTCAATGCATTGTTCTTCAGATGAGGAAGCTTCAATTTTTAGTTTCCTCTTGGATGTGTCAAGACCTTGCCAATGTTTCCTCTTCCTCGATTTGCACCTCTCTTGGATTTGCTTTAGAGTAAGGTTGCCAAAATTACAGTCTTCCAAGACATCTGCCTCATCATCGCCATCATTGGCGCTGCATGCATCAGCATCAGATTCAGCTTTCACCGTTCTTTTCTCATCTTCATAAATGCATGACCTTTCAACCTTTACATTGTTGTCAAACACGGAAATGTCATATATATCTACAATTTTCTTAAATGAAAGTCTTGGCCTGCCACGAGCAACATTAAGCATTTTCACTATCGAACCGCCTTGAATAGCCTGGATGAAGTGCAGATGTCCACAACTTCGTAGCTCCATATGGATGCTGTTTACGATTCTTGCACTGCTACTTCAATATACCGGGGAAGAAATCCTTACCCTGCACAGACCTGGACGAACCAAATTCCCTCAAACAATCAGCAAGGAAATACAATCCAACATCAAGCTGTAAAATTAGAACATCGCAAACATACAGAAGAGAGAAAACAAGGGAAAGATCATGACTTATATTATCAGGCAAGAATGATACGATAGGCAAGGGAAAACATTCTTATACAAGTAAAGGGTTCAAAAGCAGAATAAACACAAACTCTTCAACCAGAAACGGAGAATTTTGCTCATGTAAGTTGAAAAAGTACACAGATTCAGTGTCAAACTAATTTATCACTGAGAAAGATCAAAACATGACCCCATAATAAGCAATAACAATGCGTAGTTTCCTCAACAAGGAACCTAATACTTGGAATCTAATCTTTGTGCTTCCAAAACATTAACTCAACTATCAATGGCTCCAATTATTGCATCCCACGTCAGAGATTCACTGGATCATTGTTTAATGAAGAATTTAACTTGCACAGTCTAATAATATACAAGGAGACAGAACTGAAAAAGTTGGAACTACGAATGATAGATCCCTCATCCCTACAATCACCGACAGCATAGTTGATACAATAATTAATTACTCATTGCACATTGAAATTAAAGGTAAAGTGGGAGCTCTGCAAGTGCATGCCTTCAATGCGAGTATCAGAGCAGCAGAATCACCTCCCTACTTTGTCAAAGATATATGGTCCCAAGGCACATTTTCAAAACTTTCAGAATCGTAAATCTTGGAGCTTACGACTCAACATTACGACAGTGATATCAAATCATTTTCTCAACCATATAAACACTTGAAAAAATTAAAAAAAGAAAAGAAAAGAAGAAGATATTTTATTCTGCCTAAATGGAAAAACAACTGATGTCAAATTCAAGGACATCCTCCAAAGGGTAGCCTTGGCGGAACCTGTATTTGGTAAATTATGGCGAGGGTCCGAAGGAAACATGAAGCTACAAATTCTCATTTACATTTTCCCGAGATTGAATTACTTTTACGACACTCAGACCTTCATGTATTTTCGAAGTCAAGGTTACTCAAGCACAGAATTGAAAGTCTCTGGAAACGAACGCAGATTCTAAGTATAAGGCAAAGATTCAACGGTAGTGGCAGTCTACAGCGTTAAAGTTAAAGAAATTCAGTCAAGCAATGTGAATCTGACAGATAATACTCACTAAGAAAGATTACCAAAACCTTCTCAGACTACAATTAAATCAGAAGACATCATACTCAAATTGGATATCCTATAGTACCGATCACGGATCATCAAAAGAATGAAATCAACCATACAGAGCCAAACCGAATGGTACCTTACAATGCTGCTGAATAAGGGCGGTGCCAACTATTTACTCAGATCGATGGTAGCAGCGGGTGCACCATTGAAGGAGATCCGAGAAGCTACGACAACGCAGGAAATCAAGAACTTTCTAGACGTCCACGGTGGCCTGACGTTGGAGATCGAGAGGAAGCGAGTGATGGAAAGGAGGATGCCACAGCGAATCAACGAGATGTGGCGGGAAGCCGAGTTGCAGCTGACGAATGGGTTCTATAGGGTTTCCGATCTGAAATCTAAAACGCGGGAAAAGATCTTCCCGCCATCAAATCATTTTTTATCTTTCTTTTTTACCTGGAATTTCCTTTCCTGGCTTTTATTTGTTTTCGACTTTTTATATTTTGTTTCTGTTTATGTTGCTATTGGTTAGGTCGAGAGTTTATAAAAAAATAATGCTCTTGAAAGAGCTATCTTATTTATTTAGGTTTAATACTTACAAATAAATATACAAAAATTCATGAATAAATTATATAGTGTTATAAAAAAAATAAATTATATAGATGATGGGCCTGTTTATAGCCTCATACAACAAATTACAAGGTTGCACCGGTGAAAATAATGGAACGAATAGTTTTAAGTCATATAAAGAAAAGTTAAAAAAAAATACTAATTAAAATTGTTGAATAAGACATATTAATTAATAATATTATCAAAAGTTTAGTTTATAACAAATTACACGATTAATTATGTCTTGTTATAAGTTTTCATAATACTGATGATGGTATATAGTAAAATATATAGGATCAAGATATAAAATTACCCTCAAAGCTTACATATAAGTGCACTTAGTATTTCTTAAGTTTTTTTTTTGACTTAATGTTGTCCCAATATTTTCATTTTGATATAATGTCGTCTCATTATTAAAGTTTGACTGCATTGACTGTTATGTGCACTCTTGATAGTCACATGACATATTTTTAAAATTAAAAAATACAAAAAAAGAATAAAAAGAACACATCATCTCTTCTCCCTCCTCCCATAACTTTTTCCTTCAGTTTAGTCCCCTTCTCATTCTCCTTAATCAAAACTTAAGTAAATCAATGAAAACCTCAAACCATCAATGAAAGAGAATAAGGATGAAGAATATCAAACAAAACTCGACAACAAATCAAAAACAATAAACTATAACCAAAAAGCTCAGAAATCAGCGTCGATCATCAAAAAACCTAGAAATATAGTCAATTAAACTCAAAAAACTAGCAAAACAATCTCAAATAACTAGAAATCATGGTTAATCAAAAAAAAAAACCCTAGTACCAAGACTTGGGTAGCAGCAAGAACATGTTCAAGTGGTTATAGGTTTAAATCTTGATAAACTATCATGAACCTAGAACAAAAAACAAAAACAAAAATAAAAAAACAGCAACACCCACAAGCCTATGCTTTGGTTTGAATGAAGAGCTAGACCATTTCAAAAAACTCACAAGGACAAAAATCAAAGAACATAACCTAAGGGGAAAAATCACAATGCATTAATCATGTGATATGAAGAAGACGATGAGAAACAAAGGAAGAGATAGGAGAAGAGTAATTAGAGGTAGACAAAGGAGAATTTGAATTAAGATAAAAAATGGCATTTTTCTTCAATAAACTCATGAGTAAATCCACAAATTCCTCCTAATCCCTAACATCGTGTGATTCTACCATCTCCTCCATCGATCTCCTAAAATCAATGTACAAATTGCTAGAACCTTGCTTCCCTTGAATAGAAACCCCATTCCCACATTCGCCTACTTTACGATTGACCTTGTGTTGTCCAAATTGAAGAACAGTCTCTTTGACTCCATTGACGATGACCTCACGTTGCAAACCACCATCTAAAGGGATTTCTTAGTGCATGCTTCTCTATCCGCATCATCCTTCATGAAGCTCGCTGTAGATTCTGACAAGGTTGTGAACCAAGGGCCAATATCTCTACTGGGTCTTAGAGGGGAAAGCCTTCTTAAAGGAGGCTCGAGGAGAGAAGGTAGGATGACTAGATGATGAGATGGAAGGAAACTAAAGGGCAAAAAAAGGAAAAATTTTAATCTATTAGGCATCTCATGTAGGCATTAATGTAACATCCTAGAAAGTTAACCTTATGCGATTAAGCTTAATGAGAATAATTAAGAAAATTAATGTGGTGTATGGTTATAGAAGACTAATTAATATATAAAATTGTGGTCTTAGGCCTAAGTTTGAGTTTGAAATATAGTCGGATCACTTGGATCATACAAAGAGAGAAAAACAATGAAGTGAGGCTTTGCGCCAAATGTTGTCGTGTGTGCATTGTGTACCACAACGCAATAGGCTTGAATCATATGAGGGAGCTCTCTATGCCACATGTCATGATGCATGCTATATGCACCTGATAATGCATATTATTTACAAACTTCTCTTAGCTTTTTAAGGCCTTTTCATGTGTTCATATAGGTTACATTGCATTCATATTGCACTCATAGTGAAAATGTGTCTAAATGTTGAGATTTCATACACTAGAGGAATTTTGATCCAAAATTGCACTTTTTCATAATTTACATTTTAATTATTGGAATTATATCTTTTAATGGAGATGATAATAGGTGCAATTAGTTTTGATCAATTCATTTCAATTTAAAAGTTATTAAGAAAAGACAACATTTACAGCTGTCTCTCTAAGGAGTTTTAGTTTGGCATAGTTGTTGTCCTTGTGTGTGCACTCACACACTTGGTCATTGTGAGGAATTTATTTTTATTTACCCCTAGCCATATTTTCTACTCCCTCTATTTTTATATATAAGAGAAAAAATGTATCATACAATTTAAAAAAGTCGGTTAACTATAACAATTATATGTAAAAATAATAAAAAAGTTTACTAAAATGCCCTATGTTGATTAATATAACCATACATTAATTATTTATCATTAATGTAAATTATGAAAGATGATTTGGAAAATGTGTAATAAATGCTTATTGGAATGGATGATTTTGCTTATAAAAAAAATACAAGTTAAAAGTGATAGTTTTTCTAGTAATAAAAAATGGAGGAAGGAGTATCTAATATGAATTAATATTCTCAACTTTATTTTATTATTTTATGCCACACATTAGATGAATTGATTAAGCAATAAAATGTGACATAAGTACAAGACACATGTGATTTGAAAACATAAATCCAATACAACTTTAATGTGACCAAATAGCTGAAGAGGGGCATGAAATACAAGGCCAAAAAGGTACAACACTCTCAAAGAGTATGGAACATGTGATCAAATGGATAAACATAGGAATTATCACCCTTCCTTCTAAAACGAGTCACACAATTTGGCTAGCCCTTGTACAATTGGAAGACCATATTTTTCATTTAATTTGTTTGCATTGCCAGCTTATTTAGGATGTGAATTCCAAGGCTTATATTCAAATCTCACTTCATTTTCTCTCATTCATACATTTTCCTTCATTTTCTTTCTTGTTCTTCATCTCTATAGTTTTGGCCATCATCAATTCACACACAAACTCACACAAAACATATACCAATCTTCTTCTCCCATCAAGCTCATCCAATCCTTTGCATTTCCTTAAGGTTCCAAAGCTTCAAATCTTCATTCGAGTAGACATGAGGTTTGGCCAAAATGAGAAGATCAAGGAGTCCATGAAAATGCAGATAAATATGAAAGGCTAGGCATCTTGGAGAAATCTTATAGAGAGGAAGATGAAGGATGAATTATGAGTATCTCTTGACTAAGCTTTTCTAATTCTTAGCTCTTCTCTTTTAATTTGATGATTTAATTCCTTAGTTTAAGGTTTGATGATCATAGCTATATAAATCTCATTTAAATTGAGTGCTTGTGTAAAGAAAAGAAGCTTGTGAGATTAATTTCTCTCTTAAATGTTCTTGGTTGATTCGGCCACATCTAGTTAAGTATATAGTATTGCGTTTTTCAATTGGTAAATGGCTTGCATTGATTTTACATAATCTTATGAGATTGTTGCTTGTCACTTGAGTAGCTTTGCATAGTCTTGTGGTTGCTCATTTTTTGTGCTAATAGCGAGACACTTGAAAGGGAGAATTAACAATACTTAAAACCAACTAGAGAAATTACCTAAGGACTTTAGTCTAAGACTTAGAGAATTGAACTAGCTAGGTTATCTGGCTTGGGAGAGTTTTCTTAGATCATAATTAACTTGGTCAAGAGGATAAGAGAGCACTTAACTGCCTTAATCATCAAGAAGATTAGAATTTTTTTTATTAACCAATCTCTAGGATTCTCACTCTTTAAAGGAAATTTTCACTCGCTTACTTTAGCTTAGAATTTTGTTACTTGTTTAGTGAGTTTGCTAGAATCAATCCAAGCACTTAGTTTGACTTATTCAGGAGATAACCTCATAGTTAGATTGAGACACTCTTAGAAAGATGACCTAAGGTTAGCCTTTTACTATGTTAGGGTTAATTATAATACTATTTGTGAGATAAGTGACTATTCTTTACTAGTGCTGCATCACATGGTCTAAATTTTATAATAAATAGGTTATGCTTAGACGTGAAAAAGAGAGCAAAAACATAAATATTAAATGAGAGAGACAAAGATTACTTAAAGAGCTCTGCTAGGGCTTGGATATTCAAGACATTGAGAGTATTTTGGAGCTATCTAACATTAAAGGTAAGTTTTTCTAAGCTCGTCTCTCACTTCCCTCTTCTCTTTTAAGAATTTCTTAGCTAAGGTTTGCAAAAGGGGAGTAATATTCTGACCATAAAAGTCATAGGTCCAAATTCTTTAACATAAATAGAGTTAATGAGAGTTGTTTGAGCTATTGAAACTTAAATTTTATGAATGGACACATTTTTGGGTGGTTGGCCTTGTTTATATCTGAAAATAGACATTAAATGTGAAGGTTGGAGTTTGTTGAGGACTATTAATGGCAACTTAGGTGTTTTGTGAAACTAATCGGAGCTAAGAGGAGCTAATAGACCCAACGAGCAAGCTTAAATGCAAAAAAGAAGGATTTTAGATATTTGTAGTGTCGAAGTAAGAAGTTAGAATTGTGTAAATAATAACATTAATTGTCGTTGATATGATTAATTACATATTAATCATTCAAGTACTGATTTCGGCTTTAATCAAGCTTTTGGAAGCATTTGTTAAGGGATAAACTTTCGATTGGTTAAATGTTTGAAGTAACTAGGAAAATTTATTTTCGTGTAATTGTGTGTTAATTTAATTTTATGAATTGAAATGACTTCATATGAAAGAGGTTGAATTTCACAACTTCTGATATGTGACATTTAAAAAAGAATAACCAAGAGTATTTTAGTCATTTAAGTTGTGAGTGTGGTATATGTTTATGACTCCAAAATTAGAGTATTGTAAAATTTGCGAATGTAGTGATAGTGAGAAAACATTACGTATATGCTAATGTGATGATGTGAATTGAACATGAATAAGATGTGTGAAATGATTGACAAGCATGTGGTGGTGAATAAGCATGATGAGATGATATATGAGAAGTGTGATGAAGTGATATTGTGAAATACAGATAATGGTATTTATTGAGCTCATTTTTATGATAGGGCATGATATATGTTAAAAAATGATTGAGTATATTGTTATGAATTAAAGCATGCGGTATATGGAAATATTAAGCATTATATGATCATATTGGCGAGGGTTTGTCTAGGAAAAAGAGTTAAGTATTGGTTTCTTTTCGTAGCTGAAGGCTAGCATTGTCCCACTATCGAAGAATTATCCTATTATTTATCAAAGAATTCAAATCTAGCTATCTCTACCGATTTGTCAATAAGACTAGCTTAGGATTTGATACCCTAGAAATTCGAGAATAGGAAAAATCATGGTTCAAAAGTGAGTGTAGTAACCTTTGGTAGAATTACTCCTTACAATTAGTGAGCTAGGTAGTCTATTCACATATATGAAACCCTATTTGATTTATAGCTCATGGTTTCAATCAAGAGGTATAAGAAGGTTATAAGATTAATTCAATCATACATATTATCTAACGTAACACATGATTGTTAAATTTGTGATAAGTCGTGATTATTGTGTTTGCCATTGCCACATGACTGTTAGTATTGTGATAGTGAAAAATGTGATGTAATTAAGAGAGATGTAATGATTTGTGCATATGTGACATGAGTTATATGAGATTATGTGGAAATGTATTTTTATCTCATAGGTGTTTAGTTGTCAATTGATTCTTAATTACATAGTATAGACATACATTGGATACTGATTAATTGTACTCACCCTTCTATTTTAACATTTTATAAGTTCTAGCTCAGGTGTATAAAAATGAAAAGCTCTAAAGGCTTAGGGATTTATAATTCCTATTGTAAGCCTCCTATCTTATTTTGATTTATGTGTACTTAAGAAGATTTGGCCAAATAGGGATGCATTTGATTATATACTTGTACTATAGGGAATTGCATTATATTTGTTGTATTTTGGGTCTCGGAATTATTGTACATAAATTTAATTGTATAACGTTGAAGCACTAGCACAAGTATAGGGAGAAAATTATGATGTTTCAAAAGATTAAATATTTTTATTATATGCAATGTTAACCTCCCCCTAGTATTTTTGATAGTGAGAGGTTGAAGGTTGGAAATGAGAATTAAGTGTTATACTGTATTTGTGATGTGATGCACAAATAGTTCTAAGTCCGTAAAGTGTGGTTTATTGTGACGCAAAAAGGAACAAGCCATGGTATGCCCTCTGTTTTTTCCTATTTTATGGTTTCAATTAGTTTTGGGAATTTTTTTACTACAAAATGATATATCATGCTTCCATACTAATTTTTACTATGGTTCTAACTTATTCAAGTCATATTTGAATTATCTTTGATGTGACAAACTTGAAATCCCAATTTTGAAAGAAAATACAATTAGATTTTTTAAATTCTTATAAATGATTAACCATAACTAGGTAATCTTCTTGAGTTAGACCCATGATTACTAGTGGGGTGATGGTTAAATATGTTTAGTAAAAGCAACCTTACAATTAATGGATCAACAAACAATTAACATTGTAAAACTTGACAGTAGGGCAAGATTGTGCCAAATTTTAAAAACGTTGGAGCAAAATTGAGTCAAAAAAGCTTTAAAATATTAGATACGCCTATGTGGAAAGGTCGAGAATAAATTTGACATTTAACCTTATTTTTACATTTTAAAGACAATTAGAAGTATTAAAATCTATACTCTTTTTCTTATCTCAGTATACACACATTCGTGCAGAACTGTCCAAGATGAACATAATTCCACGACACTCCGGAAGGATCCATAATTTTGTTGGGACTTGGAACTTTTTTCATCAAAATAAAGTAAAGAAATTTGGACAGACAAAATAATTAATTAACAAGTAATAAAAATTAAGAACAAAATGGGACAACATCCCTTAGTGATTCAGAGTCCTACTTATACTGCTATGGCTACAACATCCAGTAATGTACAAGTAAAACCTTCATCCTTCAATGTACAGAACGACTGAACGGTGCTTTTAACTTTCCAGCACCTAAACCAACTGAACAAATTCGTGAGTATCATTATCATCAGAAGACCCACGAGTAAACGTTACATAAACTTTAATGTGATGTGCAGCAAGCGAAACGTAACCCATGCCTGTTTGAAATTGGAAAACAAGCATGATCTAAGAAGAATGTATACTCCATGAAATTGATCCTGTTGTACATCACTTGTCATGACTCTTTAGGAATTCAATAATACAGGGATACACCTGCTTCACTGCCTGCATCAGGAAATGCATAGAAAAGGCATCACAAGGAAATCAGCAGTATATATAAAAACAACTAGACAGTATTTGATACTTGAACAATTGAATGATGCATGGGAACTGTCAAGAGAGATTAAAAATTAGGAGAGTTTTGGTTAAGACTATTTATATATGAAAAATAAGGAAGCTTTGTAGGTTAAAAAGGAATAGGCGGTGTTGGCAGAGCCTATTCCTCTCACTTATAAAAGACACCTTCGGGATAGATACTATCAATTAACCTCAATAATACTCAAATCTGACTCAATCAAATAACTATATCAAAAAGGAATAAGTGGTTGTAGTGCATCTGGAGTAATAAAGAGAAGGGCATAAATGTCTTTCTGGGGCCATAGTATAAGTATAAATAAAGTTGAGGTCAGTGTTCATAAATAATAATTGAATTTCTCAACAACATTGTTTTTCCTCTCTCCCCCCCTGTAGTTTTTGCTCTTTACTGTTCTCCCAACGTGGTATCAAAGCCTAATGGTGCAGAAGACAATTGAAAATGGACAAAAAGTCAACTGTGATATACATGGAAAGACATGATGACAGCATATCAAATAGAGGGCACAATCAGGAATGACAAGAGAGGATTCACATATTGTACATCCATAGCCAATTTTTCAAAAATAATTTTCCATGTTTTCTGAAAAAATAGAAATAACAATTAACTAGGAAAAGTTTCATACCAGTCTCCCTCCAACCAAATCATAATGAGCATAATGTGGACCATCAGCTTCACCAAATACTTTATAGGTGACCAGGTGCTGAGGAATCAGCTTAACAGTTTCTGGGCCACAAAAAGCTTGATAAGAATCTTTACTTCTTGAAAACAGCAGGTATGTAAACGATCTACAATCTCAAAATACCTTCCACAGCTTCAGGCGGGCAAATAAGATCCTGGTCTCCAGCAATTGCTAAGACAGGGACATTGCTTTTGTGTAGATGATCTTTGTAGAAGAAAGTCCCATCCCTGTTACATAATCCTTGGTCTCGGAATGCTGTCGTGAGCTGCAAGATAAGTTTAGCAGGTATGGTACCTGCCAATCAAGGCAGTATCAAATGAAGGTCAGTTAAGCCAAGCCATTCATGAATCAGACTCTCAGCAATAGAGCATAAATAAAGCGTACATGAATGAGTTTAACCAACCCCGAGTTCTTGACCAGTCAACAGCTCAACATATAATTTGTTCAACTCAAGAATAAAAGCCAAAGAACACTATACTTCCTATCTACTTCTGTACTAATCAATTTTTCAACCAAGATACTTCAATTCATACTTGAAGAAAACATAACAACCAGAATGTGCATTTAACAGTTCAACAGCACTCCAGATTCATTAATGATTATTAATCATTCTAAATTTACTAAAAACACCAGCCCTTTCTCACCACATCCAAAAAAGGAAGTATCAGTTATTATCTCCACATGGGTATCAAGGAAAGAACAATTTATGCTAAAGCATCTGTTAAGTCCATAAAAGTCATCTAGCATAAGAATGGGCAATCATTTTTTTTTTTTTTGGTTGGGGCGGTGGAAGTTCTCAAAGGATTTGTGATTGCCATGATTCTCCTCAAATCGTTCCCCTTTTGAAGTCAATTCATTCATTTTCACATTTAAACCGTAAAAATAATGAAAATATAAATTAATCCGAATATATTCAGGCCAATGGTCATTGTTGCACTTATTGTTCATCAAAACAAGGTTATTTTGGTTTCCATTTGATCAAGCAAGTGTGAATACTAAGCTGGCCATAAGTTATCTTGATAAGGAGACTAACAAAACATTAAAAAGTTTACACCAGAAAGATGAATGATGTAAGGAAAATATTTGTCAAATCTATTGACAATCACCTTATTAATTAACAAACAGTATTTCTTACAGTTTCATAGCAGATGGGTATTTACATTTTTTTTATTACTTTCAGAAATTCTGAACAAACTCAGGTTAATGTTTTTCTATAAGAGGTGATTATGCCTGCAAGTCATAAATGTGTCTTTTACGTCACAACTCATACATTCTCTTTCATCACATATTGACAGTAATACTCACAGAAGTTGCTCAAGATCAGCTTCTTCAAAAGTTCAGGCTCCATCATGTCCTCAGCAGTAATCAAAGAGTTTAGCCATGACAATACATAGGGTGGGCGATATGTAAGAGGATAAGCTGCAGCCAACAGTGCTCCTAAGGGAACAACAGGTACATTCAGAGCCTGTGCAGGATCTGCCTGTTTGACAAGTGATCCGATTTTAGCTCACCAGAGATTTTGCGTTAAGTTAACCACCTAATGCAAATAGGAAGCAACCAAACAGGGATAATCAGTAAACTTACTAGGGGCAAAAGCAGCTTTAGAGTTGATTTAGATGATGTGTAATCCAGAGAGGATGCCAACGTAACAATTGCAGCCAATCTAGGTTCTTTTCCTTCAAAACCTAATAGGGAAAAAAAGGTTACAATAAATAACTTATGATAGGCATATTTGTCCATGAGAATATTTTGATGAAATGGTAATGCCAAATGTTCTTTTAATTCTTGATCAATTCTGAACCTCTATGATTGCTAAACGCTAATCATGAATGCCATTCTATATTTTGCAGAGACCAGAAAAAGAAAAAAAATCTGCGCATAGCATCTCTATGTAAAATAGAGTCTCACTACAGCTAAATATCATGCTGTAAGTACAATTGAGAACTCAGTCTCCCAACATGTGGTACATGTTTTCTGATCAAAGAAAGTCAAAATAATTGGTCAAACTATATCTCTGAAAAGACATGCAACTCCACATGAAATCCAATTTAAACAAATAAATTCATGAGTTTCACACATTCAGGAACATACTTAAACAGAAATTTCCATTTCTCCCTGCTTAAAATGTTAAACATCATTTTTTCCCATACTTAGCCAAGCAGGAGCTACAGTTCTTACTAGGCTAAAATTTGAAATGCCCAATTGCTAGCTAGGGTCAAATAGAAGCTGAAAAGGGCTGCTTGTATGCATAAAAATCTTCAAATTTGGCTTATCCATTGTGCATTCAAATGGCCCAAAAAAAAAAAGGCACAAATGTGATCATGGGTAGAGGATTAACCATTGGATGTCTTTATATGACTCAAGAGACCATTAGGGATAATTGTGGATTTCTACTAGTTTTGAAACTGCTTAAAACGGGGTTTCAAAATAAAAACAAGCAGTTTATAATTTGTGTTTGAGAAAAATTCTAAATAAATGATTTTATGAATATTATTGTGTTCGGCAAATCTTTATTTCAAACAAGTGCCTTTTGTGGTCAAATTACCATAAAGGGCAAAAAATTGACACTGCAATTATAATATTGTTGAATTGACTTAACAATTCAAAGTATTCAATGCTTAATTTTAATGAAGTTAATTATGTTAGTTTATAAATGTAAGGAGTAATCAAGATAACTGATTAATGATTCTGAGCGAGGGTATTTCTTGTCTTCCAAAAATAGCTTTCTGGTTCTGCTTCAAAAGAGAAGCTCCAACTTTCTGCTTCTAATCTGCAGCAGAAAAATTGCTCCCGCTACTATTCAGAAGTAGTATATTTTTTATATTTTTGTAGTGTAGCCATGCCAAACACCCCAAAATTGGCAAGTAAGTACTTTTGAGAAAGCAGTTCCCCTTTAGATAAGCTTTGCCCAACAGCCCATAATCACAAACAGAATATTTTCTTGCCATTGGGTATCATATGACACTCTCCTCCCTAAAATATGAATACGATTATAAATGAACCAAAGTCTTACCTGTTGTTTTCCAATAACCCAAAAAAGGGTTAATTTTGGACATCCAACTTAAAGAAATAGACGCCACAAATATCCTTACATATCCAATATCAACATATTGCAGAAATCACCTAATAAAATAATCACCCTATTACCACCAAAACTTTTTAGAAAAAAAAAATGATTTATTTAAGCCTTAAAAGCATTAACAATATTTAAAAAAACTAAGCACGTGATAACAAGGCAAAGAAAAATGGTTGATAGGGAATGCAAAAGAACTCTTACCAAACCGTGAGAGCATTGCATAAAGCAGGATACCTCCCATAGAGTGTCCAATTGCAAGCAATTTTCCATCTTTTGGCTTACTTTCCTTCAATATGTATTCCATCTACATTGGTAAAAGTAACAATCACATCAGGAATATTAAACCAGGAAAAGTTCTCTTTAAATATTTGATAAAAGAAAGTATATTCTACTGGGATGGTTGATAATTACAGTAGAAATATTATCAATATGAGCAGTCAAAATATATAGCTCTTTAGCACCATAAGATGTCACCTCACCGCAGCAGGAACATCTTCTTCCAAATAATGATCAAAGTCCCAATCATACTTCACCATCAAGTCAAGTTGCTTCTGAAAATCTTCTAATGTTGAAGTAAAGCGCTCTTGCAGATTTAAAAATCGAGGAGAAAGAGATCGTTGACCTTCTTCAATAATGTTTACTAACTTTTCACTCAAATCAGATATTTGGCTAGTAACACCAGAGCTTTGCCTTGCTTCCAACAAAGTTGAAAGCTTCCCCCTAATCTCATCAAATCGTTCAAAAAATGGAGAATCTACCAGGAGTTTTGATATTTGATCAAGTAATTTTGCAGACATGACCCTGGACTGGCTTTCACTGAGAAAGCCAGAAACTCTTTCTGACAATTGCATAAATGTTTCTGTCAACCTTGTTACCAGTTTTGATTCATCCCAAACAGTAGCTAACCCAGTTAAGTCTCCATCAACAGCACAATTCTCAGGTTCTTTTCTTTCAGAAGTAGATATATCAGATTCAGGCAATGCATATGGAATATTATTCAATTTTTGTTCTGAAGGAATGGCTGCGTTGGTTGCACTTTCTGAAGCAGTTTCCATGTTCTCAGACTTTTCAAGGGCTCTCTGCTCAATATCTCTGGAATTAGAGCCCTGTATACTCAACCCAGCACCTCTCACTTCAAGAATCCATGTTTCAAATCCCTGACCAGACATGTAACGGGCAAATGATGACTGCAGAGATATCACTTGTTAGCAGGAAACTTAAGATAGACAACCAAGAAAACGAAGATGAAAAACAGATGTGATAGTAAAGCCTTTTGATTCCTAATAATTAGCTCGTAGACATTGTTCTCACACTGTTCTTCAGAATAATGTACTAGTATTAAAAGCCTCTGATTCCTACTAATTAGCTCATAGACATTGCAATTATGACTAATAATAAGATAAAGATGCTTAAGAGCATTATTAGGGTGCCAAAAACAGGGATAAATAGATGACAATTAACTGTGTGGGACTAAAGCATATGTGCATTGGACATCCACTCAAAAATTTGATACGCTGTTTATTATGACTGGCATATATGCAGACGTATTACTCAAGTAATTCCGAAGGAGAGTGATGTAGAAGCAGTCCCATTCACAATCATGAAACGAGAAATTTTGAAACTGATGTGAATAATAAAAATGGAAGGAAAAAAATTATTACCTCAGTGGTGCAGAGATCGTATCCTATTGCATTAGTCCCCACCCCCGACAACAGCAACAACGGATGATTCCTAGGAGGCGCCTATAATCATTAAACACATCCAACACAAAATAAGAACCATAAAATTTCATTTTGAAGGGGAAAAGGGAAACTGAAGACATTCGAACGAGGGAACAGATTGAATGAGGAAAAAATTTGAAACATTACCGCTGGACAAGGATGATAACGCCAGAGAGCAAGCCTCCAATCGGAATTAGAGACTGAAACATAATGGAGCTCGTCGGCGGTACAAATGGAAGGCTTATCGGGGAGCTTGATGATGGCCTCGCTGGAGTCGGTGGAGAAAGCGTTGAGAGCGAGGAAGGAGGTCAATGGCGGCGGAAACAGAAGACGGTGAGCGGTGGCGCGTGGTAGGGAACGAATTGAAGCGAAAGAGCGGATAGAGGAAGAGACTCTGTGTAGACCGGAGGAGAGCATGTCAAACTGGATAGTAGCCATTTTAGGAAAGGTCGTGCCTTGGAATCGCTTCGGGCTTTTCTCTCATAATGCTCTGTTGTCCAGAATTCCAGCGGTTTTGTCCTTTATCAAGAATCGTGATCGTTCTTTTAAAAATAAAAACAATAATGACAACAACATTTTTAATTAGAATTTAGACGGGAGAATATTTTTGAAGTCAAAATTTTTAATTTAAATCTAATTTATACTTTTGTCTATAACTTTTTTACCAGGCTACCAGCTATATATTTTAAAAATATATGTTTGGTGTTCCTTTTTCTTTTTCTTTTTCTTTTTTAAAGATTAAATATATATTATATATCAACGATAGCCGTAAGTACAAGAAACCAAGGCACAATACAAAGAAAACTCAAAATAGGACCATAATGATAATAATAATAATAAAGACGACAACAAGCGAACACTGTAACGCACTGACAACATAAACCGGCAAATAGAACCAACAGCTCACACAAGGCCACTAAACTCAATGTACTTTGATTATGTTTTTCATGAGCAGATGCGTCGATGTTTTTCATTTTTGATCCATGTATGATGTAAGATTGTGAGTTGTTTAATTCCTAAATAGAGATATGGTACAGAACAACCTAACAATCTCTGCCTTGCACTCTTGCATTTAGGGGCCATAAATCCTGAGTAATACTTAATTCAAAATTTTAAAATATAAATTTATAGGTTATCCAATTTTATTGTATATTAATTATTAAACTTAGTTTTTATTTGATGTGTGAATTACTATATTAAGTCAATAATATATCATAGGTTGCATGTGCAAAATTATTAATCAGCGTGTGTTTTAGCAAAATTAAATTTAAAATAATATCCCCTCAAACTTTTTTATAAGAAATAAATAATTAAACCACACAAATCAAGGATAAAGGAATGCACTTAAATATGTTTTTTTTGGCCTGTTATATTTAATTAAAATACTTATATTAATTGTTTGATATAGTAAATATGCATTTGATAAATGAAGAAATTTTTTTGTTTTAATGAGGGTAAATTTTTTTAATAAATGTGACGGTAAAGGTAGTTGTTTCTTATATCTAGACTCAAAAAATAGACATAAGAAACAGCTACCTAAATGTTAAATTGTAAATATAAATGTTTAACTGTTTATAAATTATAAATGATATAATTCATTTCTTATTATCCTTACAAAGGACATGTTAAATTAACATTATGACTAAAATAGATCAAGAGAAAGTAATTCAAGCATGCCGATTTTATTTTGGCTGGGCTTAATTTGGATTAGGCTTAAAATACTTAAACATATAAAAAAATTTATATAACCTAATACGACTCTAACACTTTTAGGCTAATCCAAATACTCAAATTGTTAAATATTATTTTTTTTTGCCAATTTCAATTTTTATCATAAAGAATAAGATTTCTCAATTTTTATAGTATTTAAATTTTATTTTATTATTAAGAGAAAAAAAAGTCAGGTACTTAGGCTAAGCTTGTTTAAATTTGAGTTTGGACTTGACCCGAATTTCTTTAGCCTTATTTGGATAGCCCAAATCAACTCAAAATAAAGAACATTTTCTAAATTTTTAAAGGGAGAATTGCTAAAAAAATCCCTAGCTAGAGGGGAAACCGTACCTAAGGACCAAGTTAGAAATCTTATTTATAAAAAAATATGTTCAATTGACCAAGTTACCCCTCTGTTTTCAATGCATCACATCCTCAATTGGAGAACCACCCTAAAGATCAAGTAATGGTCGAACAAGGAAAGGTTGAACATGATTGTGACAGACAGTGTTGACAAAGGAGTAATTAGCGATGTAAGTGAGGACTTAGTCAAAAACTCAAATTGTATTGTATTTCTGAATGGTATTTTCTATTTGCATATTTAATTTCTAACCGCTAACCCTATCTATCATCTCCTTCGTGCAGTTCCTCTCTTCTTCGTTGTGCTTCAATTCGACATGAACTAGTGTGCTTGTAAACCATCATGCCTCTTTGTCCATTCTCCTTCTTTCATTCTTCAACATGCTTCATAAACTAGCTGCCCACGACTCTACTTCATGAAATGGGTGCGTTTGTTCTACTTCCTTCTAGTTCTTCGCCTTACACTTTGTTCAATTTGTTTGTTTGATTCTATTCATTGATTTGATTCTGTTTTTTTTTTTATCTGACTCTAGTTTTCTCTTTAGTTCTTCACTTGATTTTATTTGTTGAATTGTTTCTTGCTCTGTTTGATTTTCATATATAGTTATTTGATTACATTGTATTGGTTCAATTCGAGTGATTGGAGAGAATTAATTTTCTTGTGATGAGGTAATGAAGTTTCTAATTTTACTGTCTTCTTTTTCAACTTACTTAGCCTTGCTTCTACACTTTCTTTAAATAATTAAAGAAATTGAAATTATAAAAAATATTCATGATGGACATAAAAAATAATATAAATTTATAATACATAAGAAATTTAAAGAAAAATAATATTATAAAATTATTAAGTTTTGATAAAAAATTGAAAAAGTAAATGGATGAATATTTCGAGCCTGATAAGATTGGGTAAGGATTTATCCTAACCTGATGCCTGATCCGAAGCCTGGCCGGTCAGCCCGACTGACTCGGGCAGGACAAAGGAGCGAAAACCCCCAAAATTTCTCGTTTTTCAGATTTGCAGAAGACAACAGGGAAGATAATACCTGAGTGGATTGGCAAGGATAAAGCCCTCAGAGTGAGAAATACTCGCAAATTCACATCACATCGTCCCCTTCGAAAAGGCAGATCAAGACAGAAGCACTCTAGGTGGGTTTGAATTGGTTTGACGAGGAATGTTGAGGAAGATAGGTTTAGAGGTTTGAATTGGGAGTAGGGACCTTGGTTAGCAAATATTTTGGTGTGATTCTCGCATGTGGAAAGTAAATTTTACTTCTGCCCCTCTCTCAATCATAAGAATAATCTGATGGTAAATATAGAGATACTTCCCCGCCACTGCATGCTACTTACGGGAGGGGATCCCAATCCGCGGCGTAGATCTCGTTATTTCAAGACAACCCTGTTTTCTTTGGTTTTAGGGCTAATCAATTCAAAATCTCATGTACCCGGATATTGAGAGAATCCATCATCGTCGCTGATAGTCGATAGATAGACCCTAATGAAATGCGTTTACTTTGATCCAATAATACGACCAGGCCTGCCACTCACATCTTCATTACTTAATTCAGCAGGTACCATCGCGAGTTCGCGGAAACCATAGAATTGGACGGCCCAAATATAAATCATTCTGTATCTGTCACTACTCACTAGGCAGGGATATTTATATCTATCTTGTTTAATTCAACTCTTGTTAGTCTCATGCTTCGAAATTCTAAGGTCAGATTTCGGTTTTTCTGCTTCTACCTTCCCCCCCCCCCCCCTCATTTCCTTCTTCGAAACTACAATCCTTTGGCTAATTCATGCGTTGCTTCATGACTATAAAGCTCCCGCCTATGGCATATGCTTGTCGAATCCATAAATGGTCTTATCCCTGTGCTTGCATTTCTTCAAGTTCGTGCGCTAGTCATATTGAAGATGTACCGGAAAGGATTCGGAATCCAACAGACTCGTCCGAATTCAAGCAAAATATTAACTTTTTGAGGAACAAACTTGTGCCAGAGAACTTAATCCGGGTTTTGAACTGTACCAGTGATTTGAATTCAGCAGTGAAGATCTTCAATTGGGCTGCTCTTCAGAAGAGTTTCCGCCACACCGCCCATACATATTATGATATGATTTTGAAACTGGGCATGACTGGGAATGTTCAGGAGATGGGGGCTCTCTGTCAAGGTATGATAAAGGATGGATGCCCGGGAGCTGAGGAAGCTCTTATAGCGCTAATCCGTACATTTGTTGGGCATTCCAGGCTTAACGAAGCGATGACAGTTTTCATGAACATGGCTTTGGGTCGTTATAAGCCTCCTGTACATGTGTTTAATGTTCTATTGGGCGCTCTTGCGAAAGAAAATGGAGATTTTCTAAACGCATTGTTTGTTTATAAAGAGATGGTGAAAGCAGGAATCTTACCCACAATCGAGACCTTGAATTGTTTGTTGGAGTTATTGCTTGCAACCAATCGAGTTGATTTGGCTTTGGATCAATTTAGAAGGATGCACAAAAAAGGATGCACTCCAAATAGCAAGACCTTTGAGATCCTTGTAAAGGGACTTTTTGCAAAAAGTCGAGTGGATGAAGCTACTTCATTGTTAGAACAAATGCTTGAGCTCAGGTTTGAGCCAGATTTAAGTTTTTATAGATGTTCCATACCTCTCTTTTGCCAGGAAAATAAACTAGAGGAGGCAGTAAAGTTGTTTGAAATGATGAAAGCTTCTGATTTTGCGCCTGATTCTTTTATCTATGAGCTTCTTGTACGGTGTTTGTGCAAGAATCTTCAGTTGGATTCTGTAGTATCTCTCATAAACGAGACAATAGAAAGTGGTATACCACTAGCTCATTATGTTTTTGTTGATACGGTGAACTGCTTTTGTGACTTAGGGAAATATGATGAGGCTATAATGTTCTTGGATGATAAACAAGTTGTTGAAACTCCTCCATACAATGCATTGCTTGAAGGTTGCTGCAGTGCTGGTAAAATTAAGATAGCTAATGCTTTGCTGGAAACAATGTCTGAGAAAAATATTGCTGATTGTTATTCTTGGAATATTATTGTCAGATGGCATTGCCAGAATGGAGATACTAGGAAAGCATATGAACTTCTTGGAAGAATGATCACATCCTCAGTTACACTTGACCATATCACATATTCTGCTCTTATAATTGGCAACTGTAGATTCAAAAAGTATGAAGATGCAATGGAATTGTTTGGCCAAGCTTGTGCTAGATGCTGGCCTTTGGATTTTACATCTTATTCTGAACTAATTGGAGGCCTATGTGACGTTAACAAAACTGAAGAGGCCACCAAAGTCTTTCATTACATGGCTTTGAAGAGATGCTCACTCGATCCCCTGTCCTTCTACAAGTTGATTAAGAGTGTTTGTAACATAGGAAAGGTCAATGAAGCCATAAGACTATGGCAGCTAGCTTATTATTCTGGTATTTCTTGTCCGATTGATGTCCACACTACTATGATGCAAGAATTGTTTAAATCAGGAAGGGCAAAATATCTATTTGTAATCCTCTCACGATTGTTGGTAGAGGGCTGCAACCTTGAAATGGAAGCATATTGCATCCTCATTCAAAGTATGAGTCAACAAAATAGAGCAAAGGAATATGTTTTACTTTTTAACATGATGGTTAATGAAGATATGTTTCCTGATCCAGATAGACTGTTTGATCAACTGGCATTTATTGCTAATCATTCTCAGTTATGCGTGATTTCTGGTGCAATTGATAAACTTTTAGATGGTGAAATTCTGAATTCAGCAATGTATAGCTTACTGATAAATGGACTTTGGAAAGAGGGTAAGAAACATGAGGCTCATCGATTATTGGATTTGATGTTAGAAAAGGGTTGGATTCCGGATGCTATCACTCATAAATTGTTGATTGGATCTGATGTCAAAGAAGAACAGAGTGAAGAAATGTTGATGTATAACAACTCCTTGCAAGATTCTGTTAGCAACATACTTGCAGAAAGTCTTGGAGATGCCTGAAACATAATTATTCCATGAAAAGACTCTTGATTGCTGAGCATTCCAGTTCCATCAGGGGTGCTGCTCCGTGCAACTGCATCTTCAGCAGCTGACAATGCCTGTCAAGGAGTTTCTTCTGCACGTAGTCTTGCAGCAATGATCAGCTGTACTTTTTGTCTATTCTTTCAGAAAGTACTGCTGCCCTGGTGCCAATATGGTCAAATTTAATGGCCATGGTGAAATTGGCAAGATGTCAAATTGACCAATGTAGTTCATATGTAACCCCAATTGCAACATAGACATGCCATTATTCATGTGGTATATTACTATGCTTTGTTTGTGAAACTTTTTCTTAATCCTTCTGCTTTGATGCAAAGACACTGGCCTTAGAAAACTAAAACCATGGACATGATTATTCGGCTGATGTGCTTTTGGCTTATTACCAAATTAACAAATGAACCAAGAGGTTTTAATTCTTCCTTTTGTTATTGCACATACATACATAATGTAAAATTGTGACTTTTCTTTTGTTGATTTGCAGGAACTAATCTCACTGATCCAAGCTGCAGATGGATTGCATGCATTTCTTATATACCCGTGCCTAGTTGATCAACCTGTGAGCTTACATTGAGAGGAGATTAATTTTCATTGCTGGCACTCAGATGTATTGATTAAGGTTTTTGCCCCAAATCTTCTTAAATATACTTGTATCAGCTGGAGGGGATGGGAAGATAGCTTCATATTATCTGCCAAACTAACTACAATTTAAGCTAGGATTTTTGGATGTCAACTTGATTCTGTTACTACTTACATATTGCACATAGAAGTGAGAGGATTTGATGATATTAACAATCATGATGTGACCGATCTAGCCATCGTCCTGATCTTAACTTGTAGGATGAAGGCAGGTTGAGATTAGGAAAAAAAAATTGAGGAAGCTATTTCAATTGTGAAACGATGTGTTTCAACTCAATGAAGTGAAACTTTTCTCCTGTTATGAATCAGAACAAAGTAGTTTATGTTATTATTATTATTATTTTTTTATGGTTTAATCAAATTGTAAGTGGAGTGAAGAACTTGGGCAGCATATGGGGATTTTACAATGGGAGATGAGATCAATACTCAGAGTAGTAGATATCTTGCAGCTGCTATGAATGTTGGTTGAACGGTAAGTTTTGTTGCATGTTAACTCGGTATACAAGTCTATTAACAGTGTATTTGTTCCAAACAATTAACGACAACTACGTAAATGAGAACTTAAGCTTCAGATATCCTGAGAAACTTGGGAAGCCCAAATTTAGCAGATCATTTGAGTATCCATTTCCCTTGTCTAAAAATTGCTATAATATGTCATGGTGAGTAACGTGCATTTGTTGGAGCATTGCAGTTGTAGATGCACCATCCCATCATGTCTCCTCTTTTATTTGATAAAACTTAAAAGACAAATTTAGTCATAGAAAGGACAGAACAATGGTTGCTAGCAATCACATTTTGATTTTAGTGTAGCAAGCTCCTTTATTTCTATATCTTTCATCAGAAGTGGCCATTGTGTTTTGTGTTTGATGCATAATAACTTAGTAAACTAGTATTTTCAGAATTTGTTTTTCCACGAATCATGGTTCGGGGAGTCTAAAGATTAAAATGCTTGTGTCCATTTTTTCCCCACTTATCTTCTACATTTTGTGTGCATCATTGTGAGGTTTTGAGTTTCCATTGTCATGTTCAAGAGTCAAAAAAAAAAAAAATGTTTTTATGGTTATGCTGCTATGCATGTGCTGCCCCTTTACCCCAAAGGCTAGATTTTATTTCCTCAGGATTTAGTCTCGTTATATTCCATGGCTTCATTAGTATTTGAAGTTGGAAAAAACTTATACACTTAGTTTATATACTTAAAGCACTTGTTTCTAATCAAATCAAGACATGTAAATCTTTTATGAATTATTTAATTTAGGACAAAAGGGCAAAAATATTTAAGAAGTTGTTAGTTAAAAACATCTAGTATTTTAAAGTAAAAAAAAAAAAGTACACAAATGCCTATAAAGTTAGTTTTTTGATGCATCTGTGACTAAACTGTTAAAAGTTATGATGTTAGCTGTTAAGTTTTGGATCTAAAATTGAATGATTTGGCCACAGATGCATTGAAAAAAAAAACTTCATAAACACTCATGTACTTTTTATCACTTTAGGTTACTGGATGTTCCTGGTTACATCTTTGGTATTTTTGTCCCTTTACTCTTTAATTTATAATAAATTCTTATTATTAATATTATTAACATATTAAAATTTACATGTTTTGATTGAATTGAATAAAAATATATTAAGTATACAAGACTACGTATATAAGTCTTATCCTTTGAAGTTATATCATTCCTATTTTTTAGTATTATGATTCAAAAATGGATTGAATAACTTCATTGAATAAAAGCTTTATGCTTCTTCTTTTTTTAAGTTATCAAGCAACCTGTGTTTGGAAGTGGATTTTCATTAAACATATATGTATAAGATTACATCAACAAGGAAATTAATGTTAGATATGGCAACACACACAAAAGGGGTGAATTTGGTGTTTATGAAATTGTTTGGTTCTTTTAAAACTTTTCAGTAAAATTATGTTCAAGGAAAACTTTGAGAAAATTTGAGTTTTAAACTTTGTTAGTAAGAATACTAAAGTTATTCTTCACAAGCTCAATATGTGTAAAAATAATTTTTTAGTGAAAGTTTAAGTAAGAGCAACTAGATATATCAAATTCAATTTTATACATAAAAACATAGCATTAACTAAGGTTGTTGGATATATAAAAAGTTAAGGGAAGAGAGATTGCAAACAATAATTTATCCTGATTCAACTCCTCCTTTTGAACTTACATCCAGTCGCCAAGCAACTATTTGAGATTTCTTTACTATAACACAAACTTGAATGGGTGTTTGTTACCTTAGTATATCCACAAGTTTAGTTTAGGCACTTGGGAGCCTTTATAATAACTCACTTTACTAGTGAACTTCTTTTTTTGAGAAAATAACCTCTCTTGATTTTGAAGGAAATCTCTCCCTCACCTTTATAAAGATTTTGAGTATGTGAATAAGTCAATTGAGACTCTCTCTAAGAGTAATGATAAGTATAATAAAGCTTTAATATTCAAATAATAAAAATATAAATGATATTCGCTTAAGAATAATGATTTTCGCATAATAAGAGTAATATGAATTTTATAGCTTGATAATTTTTAAGGTTAATCTCTTGTTCAGATCAGTTTGGAGTGTTAAATTTATAGTTCATAGAGTAAAATAAGTATTAGAGACATCAAATGATCGTTTACAAATATTGCACAGTGATTATAGTCATTGGTGCAAAATTTTGTAAGCAACCAGTGCTGATTCACGTGTGTTTTAGAGGTCTTTCAAGCGAAGATGACATATCACACTTGTTTTGGAAGTACTTCACGCGTGATTTGGCTTATAGAACTTATTCAGTGAAAATAAGGCTTCTATACAAGGTGTTTCACGCGTGATTTAGCATACAAAGGCTATTTAGTGTGAAAATAGGTTTCTGGGTGCAATTTCATGTGTGCATGCAAGCTGCTCTCACATGAGATTTGGACACAGATGTTAAATCACGCAGGGGACCAAAATGTCTTCATGCATGGTTTAGCGGGTATCACTGCACATAATTTTATAATATCCTAATTCACTTAATATAATTCCAAATTTGACAATTTATATATCATTGGAAACCTCTTAAAATATTGTTTTCAATTAAATAAGTTGCATACTTAAGTTTAATATATATTTTGAGATATGATCAAAAGAGTGGATGAAGGTCAAGACGAAATGCTGTGCAAAATCAATATCTTAACACTCAACTTCTAAAATTCATATCTTTCTCAATAGAACTCCATTTTGAATGAATAAACTGTCATTCAAACGTTGTTAGAGTTTACTTTCAAATGAGATATGTTTTGCATTAAAATGAAATTTATAGTGAGAGATATGACATGAAATATGACTAAAGGTCAAAATAGATTTTTTACACAATTTCCTTTTCAAAGTTTAGACTTCAAATGTTTATGAATTTTTCAACTTAACTTCATTTTAAGTAAATAGAATAATTTGAAAATATTATGGAGTTAGTAATCAAAACATTTCAAACTTTGTGAGACATATGTGATCAAATATGAAAACTATAATTATAAAAAATTATATCTCATACTTTCTTTTAAGAGCTAAAATGCATGTTAAAATTTTAAAATATCTTGAGACAATACTTCATATCTAAATTAAGAAGTTTAACATAAAGACTTCTAGTCTAATGATATTATACCTATCAAGTCTAAGGTTTTCAAGGTGCATCCAAGCTTTATGAATGTCTTCATTCTTCTTAAGCTCTTGTTGGATCATCCTTCTTTTTATCTTTATATTCTTTAATCATGAGTGTAGCATGTAAATGATACTTCAACTTTATTCCTCTTCATGCTTACTCTTATCTTCACTTTGGACAATATTCAATGATATATCATGAATAAAATGATTAGTCTGAGTGTCAATATACATATATCCAAGTTATAAAAGATAATACTATGAATACTCTTAGATATAGAATTAATTTAAGATAAGAAAAAATATGATAGTATAAAATAACTTTGATGCACATAAATTATTTTTCCCAATCTCGTGTATTATGAAATAATATAAATAAAAACACTTTAAAGCACTTGTTCTATATTCATAATTAACTATTATATATATGAAAACAATTAGACATAAGTATAGTTAACTCCTTTATATTTGTCATCATCAAAACTTAAACTAACACATAATGTCTCAAGTTATTATGTCCAATAATTAAAGATTAAGTCACATGGTCAATGGTTTGAACCAGTTTATGTGCTTTGAAGTGGTATCAACTAAATTACAAACAAAGATAGCTTAACTATAGGGAGTGTCAAAGCCATTAGAGAAGATCCTTCAATGTCATATTTGCCCAAAGTTTCTAGCAAAGCGTGCCAAAATTGAGTCTTCAGTGTGTTCCCTTAATCTACAGGTTAAGATTCCAAAGCATCCATTTCTCAAAAGGTTTAGAGAAGAAATCAGAGTAATCCTATTTAAGGTAAAACTAGCATCTAGGAAGTGCATGTTGTGGGGCTGTGGTGAAGGATATGATCAATATCCTCAACCTCAACGTAGTAGTTAGTACAGGAAGCATCCATTGCCATGCCTCTTAATACTCTTTTTGCATTAGTGAGCAAGCAATTTTTCAAAGTTAGCCAAAAGAAGGTTTTGATTCGTTGTAGACCCAGCCATTTCCAAAACCCATTCATGTAGTACTTTGCTTCATTCTAAGCATTCTCTTATAAGACCTTGTGAGCATATGCTACAGAGAACTCCTTATTAGAGGTAATGTTATAGTGGCAAGTGTTAGCACTACTAGACGATGAGGGAGGTGTTATGGAAGTAATTTGTAAATAAATGTTGGGTGGAAAAAGCTTCTGAAAGAGTTCCTACTTCCATTAACCAAACTCATCAACATAATCACAAATTAGCTATTGCAGGTCGATGTGGGGATGTCTACGCGTGTTAAGAGCTTTAGTAGGCCCAATTCTCTAACCTAGTTATCAAGCTAGAATTAGATATGATTACCATCACTAAGGCACCAGGTTGTATATAGCTATGCATTTAGCCATATTTTTGCAATACTTCACCAAAATTGAGATGCATTTTGATGGTGAACTCATATTTAGAGTTCTTTCCCCAATTATACATAGCATGAAGGATCTTAACCCAAAGCTTATTTGCTTCTTACTCTGTGGAAGGCTACTTTCAAGAGAAAAGCTTGGTTCTAACTCTCTATATTCTTTAAACTATCGTTACTAACAAGCTAGCATACATTGATCCATTTGATAAGACTAGTTTTTTTATGTTATTATCAACACTCGAAATAAAATTTCAAATGAGTTTCTCTATTGTTTTACAGCAGGACACCAGCAAGAGAAAACTTTGCATAGTGTAATCAGGGATGGCATTGAGGGTAGATTTTGCAAGAGTAATGT